TTTACTGCAATGAATGTTTCTCATCATGGCTTGCAACACAAGACTTTCTATGGCCACATGGACATGATGGTTCAGGCATGCACCATAGTTGCAACAGACTTTGAGGCCGCAAGCGTTGTACGAATCAAGGAGCTGTACAGGGACTTCCACAACCCACCAGATAACATCGACATCATCTATGACGGAACCTGGCTGATGCATGGCCACAGTTCACACACCGCCATGGGTTGTGTCAAGGAAATGTATACCAAACTCGTTGTGGATCATATTGCCCTTTGTGAAGCTTGGGTTGCTCACTTGGTCCAAAACCCAGTGAGCTATGGTACGCGGCTTGGCATGCCAAACGCGTTTCAGACTGCCAGATTGATATGTGGGGTTTAACGTCCCAAAACCACCATATGATTATGAGGGACGCCGTAGTGGAGGGCTCTGGAAATTTCGACCACCTGGGGTTCTTTAACGTGCACCCAAACCTGAGCACACGGGCCTACAACATTTCTGCCTCCATCGGAAATGCAGCCGCCGCAGCCGGGGTCAGACTGCCAGAAGAACACCAATTGTAACGTGGGGCGAATGTAGCTGCAAGGTGAATGCATTTTGCTCAAGGGATCCCTTCAGAAGTATGCACTACACTACGATGCTGTTTGATTGTGACAGCAGGACTTTCCATGCTTTGACCGAGCAGGCTGTATACGGCTTCATTAGGGCATAAAAAAATTTTGCGTCAACCGCGTACACAAACGCATGGGAGCAGCCTTGCGTAGGCTGGTTGACAAGAATAAGGCCCAAGGTGAACCCCTTGGAGGAAAGAAACGGTTAACTCACGACAGCATTAAAAAAATTATGAATTGCTATGGCTGCCCGCTATGGCTGGGCACTGCGCAGCCATAGGAATGATATGCCCGGAATGAAGAGGGCAGTAAAGGCAACCCCGCCCCTCATGTCACCAACCAATGATGACCCGAAGCACAACCTGTGGCTTGAAAGACTAGAATCTCGGTGCTTTTATAACCGTGCTGTAGAAAAGCACGAGAAATTAAAAGCTCACAAAAACAGCTTGCCCAGCTTGGTGTATTTCAAAGCAATTAAAAAAAAAAAGCAAAGTACGCGACGCTATTGGTTGTTAAGCGTGCGTGACCACAAGGTGGCCACTTCGTTGGCTGATTGTGCTCGCATCGTCTGCTCGGTGCGTGAACAACGCGCGAACATGTTGTGCTACCATACCGCCTGTGCTTTGACTAGCGTCCTTCCGATCGAGGTTGTCGCAATGCCTGGGTCAGCACGAAAGTTTCATACCTGGCATGAGTTCGGCAAAAAAAAAAATCTCATGCGAATAACTTCAAGGCGTGTCTCTGGCGTGTCTCTAGGCGAGTAGCGACAACAAAGAACGAGATGAGTCGCCCGCCAATGCCGCCGACGCAAGCTTGACGACCTCGCCAACCTGCTACGTTCAGAAACATGACGCATCGCCGGCACATCCATCACCGGAACGCACAGATTGAGACTCCACGACCCCAATCTCGTCCGCCAACAGCGAAGGAATCGCCGAGGCGTCGTGACAGTCAACGAGAAATTAGGCCTAGTGGGCCTGCCAGCCACTGACCCTTCGAGAAGCAGCGGCCGCATTCGCCGTGATACAACCTCACTAACGCAATCAAAGCTGCAGTTAAGGCGCACAAAGACCAGTTCAAGGCTGCAGAAGCTGGCATCGACTGTCGCATTGAAGAGAAAAAGTGAGTTTTTGAGGAACGACGCACCGGCCAGCGCCACTCCCCCGGAGCTAAAGGAAGAGGCAAGTTTTTTGATTGCTGATATTGGCTCCATCAATCAACGGCTTGATGCCATGAAATGTACAATTTGCAACGGAAGCGTCAATATATACAAACAGGACAGACAATACGGTCTGTCCTGTCTGTATATATTGACAGCACACAGAAAGTGAACCCGTTCACAGTCAACATTTTCGCCGCTCGAGCCATGCAGGCCACTGAGAACCGTCAAGTGGCTATGAAGGATAATTTTCGACCATAAGCATATCCCAATGCAAACTTCCTAAGAAAACATGGCAGGGATATGTGAAGCAGAAATTGACACCTACAGCTAATCCCGCAGCCGAAAAAGTCATGGGCGAGTGCAGTTTGCGCGCTGTACAAGGAGGTGTATATTTACAATGCCAACAGTATTGCACTCTCACACGGTGGCTCATGGATGATGCACGGGCACTCATCTCACATAGGCGTGGAAGCAGTGATCGAGCTCTTCACAGGCCTAGTGCTGGATTATGTGGTTCTGCGTAACGACTGTACTGGGTGTGAGCGCAGACCGAAGGCAGATCACCCAGGACAACCACATGTGCCAAAAAAATACTACAAAAAAAGCTGTCGAAATGGAAGTTGAGGCATCTGTGCTCCTCTTTGAGAGGTCACTAAAAAAAATGGCCTGAAGTACGCGACAATCCTGTCATAAGGTGACAGCCGCACCTTTCTAGCCTTGCAAGAAGCAGATGTGTATGGCTTCATTACAGAAACGGGACTGTGTCAATCACGTCCAAAAGAGCATTGGCACTACCTGACGCAATTTAGTAGCAAGAGACAAAGGAGGCGCCTGTGAAACCCTTGGGGGGGAAGGCTCACCGAGGACATGATCACGAAGTTGAGCCCCTATTACGGCTGGGCGCTTAAATATCACAAGGAAGATGTTGACGGCATGCACAGAGGTGTAATGGATACTTACTATCACATCACTTTTAATGATAGTGAGTCAAATCCCAATATGTGTTGCGTCCCACCGCACCATTACAATTTGCCACAATATGCGTGCAAAGCTCTTCTGCCAGTATATAAGTGCCTGTCTGATAAAGGGCTTCCAGAAAGGTGTTAAGTGGGGAAAACCCAGAATATAGTAATGAAAGTCTCCATTCTATGATCTGGGCTTTGGCACCTAAGCAGTGCCATGCTTCACCGTTTGCAGTTGAAGCTGCAGTTGCCGAGGCAGTGATGAAATTCAACGACTGTTTGCGACTGTTATCACTTCTGTTTGCGAAGGTCTGATACGTTTGATCAAGAAGGGTGAAAAAAGTGTTAAAAAACAAGAGAGGTCAAAGAAATGTGCCACCATGCCCTACAAGCATAGATAAGCCCATGGGCTAAAAAATGTGGCATCGCAATACGATGTGCAGGTTCTATTCTCAGCGAAAACCAAACTAGGAAAATTGTGCCCTATGGTGAACAAAAAGCATGATAAAAAGAGCTCTAGCCAAAATAAATGCGGTGTTAAACACAGGGACGCCTCACTACTCTGTGCACTAGGGGTGGTGTACAGAATTCCCTTAACATGCGGAAGGGTTTATATTGGGCAAACAGGGCGTTGTCTTTATGTGCGATTAAAAGAACACTCCGGAACCTTCAAGACCAGCACGTACGCAAATTCACCTTCGCACTGCCACACGTATGGATGCAGGCCCTTGTTCAATGAAACGATAGTGCTCTTCAAACATAGCGATCAGATCACAAGAGAACTAGTGGAAGCATTCTACATCAAAAAAGAATGGGAGTACTGTGTCAGCCAAACATCAATATCTTTACATGAAAAAGAAGAAATCTTAATCAGTAGCATGTTTGTTTAAATGAAATATGCCGCGCTTGCGCAGTTACCCGTAGCGCAAAATTGCTAATGACGTCGACACGATCCTTCGCTGGCCCTCTGCGCATGTTCTGTGCGTTTTTATTTTACGTGTTCAGATAACTTGTACACTTCAATAAATTCTTCAGTTGAGAGTCAGCGCTAGTTTGTGTCTCTTCTCTTCGTCCCGTGAGTTTGTGCGCTGGTACTGCCCATAATGTATCACCAACTAGCCCAACTATCAGTCCTGCTTCAGTGGTCAACAGCTATGAGCAAGCACTCCGCAACGCGGCTACTAACGCGCGAATTAGCTCAAGCCAAGCGGTCACACTTTCGATGTTTTGTTGAGCAGCAGGAAAAAGCGTGCTAGTCCTCCCGTTGGCCATCATGACCACACTTGCACACCAAGAGCGAGCAAGACGCGCACACGCGACACACATGCCAGAACGCAGTGGAACAGCTCTGGGCTGTTTCCAGCCAGAAAACGAAACTGATTCGAGCCAGCGTGGCAGGCGTCGCGGAGCGGTGGAGACGGGCAAAGGGGTTGTGATCAAAAGAGGAGAGCAGATTTGGGAGAGAAGGGCAAAAAGTTGCGATAAAGATGGGGGAGGATGCGGCGGGAAGGCGACCTTGAAAACCAAAACACACGGGAAAGAGGCAGGTCGGGTAGCTTGCTTGAAAGGTCCGCGAAACTCGCCCGTAAAAAAACTTGGGAAGAGTGCCCACGCGCACAGAAGTCAAAGCACGGCCGCCTAGATCGGTGCCCACGGCGGTGTTCAAAGAATCGGCGGCCATGGTAAAAAAATCGTTTTGTTGCGCCGGCAGGTTTACGTGGCCTCACGAACTTCGGTATTTCGCGATTCGTTCCGTGCAAATTAAAAGCAGTTTTCACGCTTCCGCACCCCCGCGGAAGGCTGCTGAGCCGAGTGCAAAGTGAGCGAGAACAAGTCCTAAAAGCAAAGCGAATCTCGAATTATTAGAGTCGGTGAGGCAGCGCACGCGCGTGCACTAGACGCAGACTATCGGGTATCGGATATAGTCGGGGGCCGACGATGTTGGCAAATGGTCTGGTCATTCCAGGCCGGCGACGCCAACGACAGTACCAGCGATCAAAAACAGGGTAGATGGCCGACCGGTCTTCGAAAGATCGGTGGCAGTGTGAAAACAGGGGCCTCGTTTGGCGATGCGGGGTGCTCAGAGTAGTGGGGGGGGGGGGGGACAAAGGACGGAGGGGTGCGCAACAAAACAATAAGAATGTATAGGCACCTCGCCGATGCCTGATCGGTGGTCGGAAGTGGTTTCCTGGGAAGTCAGCTAACCGCTGACTCCGTTCGCTGTAACAGATCAGCGGCACTCGAAGACGTTCGTTGTAAGTGCGATTTTGTGCCATTTAACAAATGTATATTTTCACTGTCACGCGGGTGTTGTTCGTTTTAAGCGAAAGTTCGTTTTAAGTGGGGCCGTTATATGTGGGTTCGACTGTAGTCCCTAATGTTTCTTTAAAAAATGACAAGTAAAGCTTAAATAATGTTTTTGATGGCACTGATATGTTCAGCCCAAGATAAAAATTTGGGCAAAAATATAGTGCAAATTTTGCTCTTTAAAAAGTATGCGAAAATATCTACCAAAGCACAGCCCTGCAAATCCAAGACATTATGCAGACATACCAGATGGCAGTTTCAGTGTGAAATTCGAAATGTGAAACATACCTTTGCTTCATGTTTTTTTTTAGTTAGCCAACCAGAGCAAACGTAATGGAAGTAAGATTTTGGAAAAGCATGTTATTAGCACGAAATAATCCCATACTTCTCTATAGCATCACTCAAAAGCTTTGCCTTTCACAACTACAACTATAGCCCTAATGAGATACAGCAGACCCTCAATAACTGGAATTTGAAGGAACCAGAAAAATGTGTTCCGTCTAACATTAGTTCTGTTTACTAAGAGCAGGACAGAGTTCAAGTATGCAGTTAATCACATTTAGGGACAATTGTTCAATTTAGGCAGTAAGTTCCGTTTCAAGAAATTTCCGTTTACAGAGAGTCTTCTACATCCTGTTCATACAGAACCAGCAAAAAGGAGATTTCACATGGCCCACCACTTTCGTATCGACCGTGTAACGTGTAAATGTGTTCTAAGACAAGGCAATGACCAGGCGGTGTCCTAGGACAATACAATGGCCAGAAGCCATATCACAGTGCAAGCCGCAGCAGCAGGTCAAGCAGGGTCCTCAGGCTCAGGTGTCAAGGTCACCTGCTGGGAAACCCGGGTCACCTGCGGGTGTGCAGAACGTTCCCTGAAGCTTGGCCAGGCTGTGTACCGAAAACAAACGATGGCTGCGTCTGTGGTGTTTCTTAGTGTCACACCCTCAGGGCCGTCGAGCCAAGGATAGGTGATGTAGCACTATTCCTGTGGGGGAAGGGGGGCAAATTGTTATTCTACGTTTTACGTAATTTAAACCAGAATGTAATATTTTTTTTTGAGGGCTCATTTTATTGAAGACACAACTCAAATCAATAAAACAGCATACAGTACACTGTAAGTAAGCAAATATCTATTGAACGGAACCTCTGCTTGGATGGAACAGTTTCCTATGGTACGATTGGTTTAATGTCTAGATTTTACACTTGTTTGTCTCTCAGCAAACGAAATCCCTGTTAAATGAGGTATATTTTCCTGGTCCCTTCCGGTTCTGTTTAACAAAAGGCTACTGTAATTCAAAAGTTGTCAGTTTGGATCGTACCAATGGGAAAGATATTTTATTTTTCTTCTTCCACTTCAATTCACTTTATGTCATCATTAGTAACCTACAGCTGAAAACGATTAGTATTTCCTACAGTTTCCCTGGCTTAAGTTATCTGTTGTAATTATTTGGTTTGTCTAAAACCCAAGACGTGTTACAGGACAAATTGTAACGCGGGGGATTCATTTCAATCACTTGGGGCTGGTGCAAATATTCGAGCCCTTCGAGTAATGAAACCCCCTCCAGCACAAATATAAACTATCTGAAATTTCCAAGCATTCAAAATGAACGAACAGACGTATATACCACCTCAAACCACATGAAACCCCATGCAAAAGCAGTTTCACTACAGTGGAGGGGGAATATGCCATAAATATGCCTATCCAAAGGAAATCCACACTACTATAAGGCCCCACTTCAAGGTTAAATTAACATATTACACTCATATTAATCTACGATTTCTTAAATTCAAAAGCTTGTTATACTACCTTATATGTTTCAAGTACTCTAAATTTTAAAAACAACATATTTCACAGATTATCACTTGTATTCTACAGAAAGTAAAGTCCTGCTCCTATTAAGAATCTCCACTTCCTTTTGAACCAAAGAGAATTGCATTGACGCATGCCTTATTGAAATTTTAAAGTAGTTTTTGCAGGCTAGTTGGGACATAACAAATATGCTGATTTTTCTTTATAATATGCGATGTACATTGCTCAAATTAAATACAAAATTATTCGACCAAATCATTCTTCACTTTGAACCTCAAATTTACTTTGCACAAGCGCTTCCACAAGTGTGCATGCATGTCTGCACATTCTCCAAAATACGACACACAAAATTGAAGGGAAACACTGTCAACATCTGTCAATTCAATATAAGTCGAATAAAAAAAACACAATCAGTCAACCCTCGTCTTATATACTGGTCATTGGCACAAAAAAACGTGGAAGTCTTGCAACAATGGGCAGCTGAAGTTGAAAGCTTCCACTGCCATCGTGAGCATCAGCAGCAGCGCTGTTGGGCAAGGCTAGGCAAGGCCAATAATATTTTAGCACTGACATTTTGCCTCAGTTATCTGCTGTCAGTCTGCTGTATTCATTTTTCTATTTTTCTTCTGAAATGAGTGGTAGTTAACGGTAGTTTACAATATGCTTTAAGAAAAAAAAATTATAGAGTATGCCAAAGGGCACCGTAACCTGGCGGCACAATGGGAATTCGGTGCATCGGAGAAAAGCGTACGATACTAGAGGAGCCAAAAGCAGAGCAAAAACCATCGTTTCTTGGGCGGACTGCAGCGCCCCCCGAACTGGAAACGCTACTTGCCGAATTCGTTCGGGAGCTGCGTGCAAGGTTGCTACCCGCAACAGCGAAGTGCCTCACGGTACTCCCGAGTGAACATCCAATGTATTCAATTAAAAGCTCATTAAAGAAACGGTACCTGTTGACCACCATTACAGTCAACATGTCTCAAAGGGTACTGCTGTTACCGTATTTACACAAATCTAGGCCGACGACCCTAATTCTAAGTAGACTCCTAGAAACCCAAAGCATGGAAAAAAAAAAACTCAAATATAGACCGAACAAAATAGCGAGACGTCGTACACAAAGACAAAATAATTATCGAACAAGAAGATGAAAGAAAGCAATTTGTTCATGACGCAAATAACTCTACAGCCGCTAGTTCTGTTTCGTGTGTTTCTTTGTCATTTTTTTTTCACGCTGCTTCTAGTTACTTGTATCATAAAGATTCCGCATTCATTCTCAGTCATCTTCGCTGCTGCCCTCGACGCCGACTTTTTTGTCGCTGTCTTCAAAAAGTGAGCAATCCTCAATGCCATCAAGCGCATTGGATATGCCGCACTTAAACGAGTGCACAATCAAAGTTCCTGGGATGTTGTCCCACGCTACCGCACCCCCAGCAACGCACATTTTTTTCTGTACATTTAAGTCTCGCTCAGCTTGAACGTTGGACGACAATGCCGTGGCTAGGACAACTTTCCTTTTATAAATAGCACTATAACGACAGGGCCTATCTGGTCCCACTGAACTACACCGCACACAGATTAATCGAGGCACAACTCGAAATGAGGAACGGCTCTTTTCACCATTCACCACAAAGATTAAAATGGCGGCCTCACGTAAGTACTTGAGCCAGGTCTTGGCTTGGCTACTAACGGCAACAATACAATCTAGATGGTGCAACTTGTGCGCTTCTTTCCTCAATGAAAAATGGTGAATTTTTCAAAATCCTCAAATCTAAGCCAGACCTGAAGTTTGAGACAAAGATATTTGAAAAAAAAAAAAAAAAAAACTATCAGCCTAGATTTGAATAAATACAGTATGTGCTGCAACACTTCACACTATATTCACTCAAGCATAGCATACATTCTAGTATCTCTAGCAGCTAGCAGTAAGTCCCAATCTGGACTGTGCGACTGCTACAGTAAGCTCGGGTAATTGCAGGCACAGTGGCACCCCTTCGCAAGAGACACTGGTGGAGCAGTTAATCGTGTAAGAGAAATACTAGTGAACCTGCTTTGAAATACGGATTCATCCAACGCTGAAAACACGGCACCCTGTTTATAAGAGACCTTTCAAATAAGAAACAAGAACTACTCTCCGCTACGTCTCTTACGAAGGTGTTCAACTGAGCGGGCCAGGAAACCACCAAACTCACCCGTTGCCACAGAAACATTGAGGCTGCCGATAGGACTGTCTTGCCCGGCAGGTGCCACGCAGAGGACAGAGTCACACAGGGTAGACAGCTCTGGCTGTATCCCTTGTCCCTCATTGCCTGAACATCATGGGGGAGGGTGAAAAAGCATAAAAATGCAGGGGTGAGTGAATATTTGAAAATTTCAAAAAACGAATTGAATGGAGTTCTATACTTGGTTTGGTATACCATTTTCTTTTTTCAATAATCTGCAACCACACAAAACCCCCAAGGAACAGTGCATTGGGAGAGCTGAGGATCACTTTTTTTGTGTTCATGAATAAACTGCCAAGATGCATGAAGCTCAAGCTCTGATGAAACTATCGAAGCTTTGCTCTTCACTGGATAAAAAAACTTAGATTTAACATATGCAATGATGTCAAAGCAAGTGTACCCTCAAGGCTGAATCCACTACAATTATCCCAAGATTCGTGATGATCATTGATAAAATATTGTTAAAGTTTAGGTATTAGGGGTATTTAAAGGCTGATGACAAAGTACCTCCTAAACAACAGGAATAATTGCTGTATTCATCCTACAGATTAAAAAAAATATGTCAAAAAACTAGTCTACTGTACACAAGCTTACTTCAGTATACATACCTCGAGTGTTCTTTGTCAATTTACGTAGTGGTAATGTTATTTCATGAAGGTTCATAAATGTTTGTTTAGAATAAACAGTTTTTAGTTATGTCTTGAAAATCATTTGAAAATTATCTGAAAAGTATTCAATTCCTTTCCATACTCAATTCGTATTCGATCCAGTTCAATATTTCACTATACGCACACCCCAAATTAAAAGCTTAACAGCATACCAGAATTTTGCCTGCACTGTCACCCCGCCGCCTTCTTTTTTTCTCTGGCTTAATTAAAAATTAGGTGCAAGCTATGGCAGCTACACAGTCAGCATTCCGTGTCTTCAGAGTGTCAGCCTAATGATACAGAGTAATTGACACAGTTTTGTCCATACAGTCTCATTAATAAACTTTTTTTTAATCTAGGATGTCAAAGCAAGTCCGTAGCCTGCAAAGAAAATACTCCTGTTGGGCCAAAAAATGTTCATTAACAGCGCTCCTGTTCTTAAGAGCTATATAGACGATGTTCTACACTAAAACACTCTTAGTGTATGAAATATTCGACAGAATTTTACGATAGTTTCACTTGGAGTTAGCCTTCAAATTTCAAATATCTACTGGTGTAACTCTTGCAAAAAAACTTGCACAGTGTGACAGCACAAAAGTGATTTCAGTAATGACATTTTTTTTTTCTTTCTACACAAACTGACGTACTCAAATTCAAAGAGGCCTTGCAAAATTTCTTGAACATAATAATGTACTTCAAGAAAAATTTACATAGCAACCACAACGATTTGTAAGGAAACTTATAAGAAGACCAATTTGTGAGGTCAATCAACAATGGCTAAGAAAGGTGTTGACGAATCTCTCCATTAACTATTCAAATTGATGATCGTAACTGATGCTTTGAATTGCTCATTTTAACAAGATGCATTTATTTCTCGTGCACCTAGGTCATCCCAGTGGTCAGTCCTGCCATGGCATTTTCACAAACTGTAACAATTTTCCTGCTTTGGCAAAAATAGTGATTTCTGACAAACCTTTGCACAACCAATGTGTGCATTATTGAGAAGCTGTGCGTGGCCTACAGCACTAGGGATAAATGTATGCCACTCATGGTTATTCTTCAGCAAACTTCTGTCTCCAGCGAACTCTTGGTTATCAAACATCAAATTATAGTGTCAGCTTCGCAACATGACAGTGCTGAGTGGCAATAAGTCCCCGAAATTTAAACCAGCTATTCACTAGATAGCTTCTGTGAAGCCGGGGAAGATTTATTCCATCTAAACTTTTTTTCTGAAAGTTCGCTACAAGTACAATGTGTGGAGGCGGCCAAATTAAGCCAGTTTAGAGCAGCTTAAGTTAGGCTTCTCTCGTTAGTTACAGTGAAAGCTGTTACGAGATCACAACAAGTGCCGCGTGCGTCGTAGTTGTCCACTGCTGCCGCCAGTGTCCATAGCCTCTATTGCTTGAAATATAAAAAAAAACAAAGTACCGTATTTACTTGCGTAATGAACGCACCCGCATAATAAACAAACACCCAACTTCAGCCATCAGAATTTAGGCTTTTTTCTCCCGCATAATGAACGCACCCCCTACATTTATCCACTGCAGTCCCGTTAACCGACACCTGGCACCTCCTCACCCGTTGGCTTTCTCACGTTTTTTTACTACTTTGCCGCCTCCAGAATACCACTCACAGATTTTCTTGCGCAGAACATCAAATAAATGTTTTGTTTACTCCCTCCATACTCAAGACTATCGTCTTTCAATGACATTTGCAGATTAACATGCCCATACGGGGCCAATTTTTTTAGCTTACTTTTTTTTTTCTTCACTCTAACTATCCCTTCATTCCCCGTTCCCCGTGAGTGCACGCTTTCTGCCGCCCCTCGATATCGCAAGCAGATACCACAGTTGCGGTTAAACGATTGCCAGAAAATATAGTCGCAAAGTGTTTTTATGGCCTGCGTGGGCGGCCTGGGGACAGTTTGCAGAAGGTAGCGCCATCAACCATCGAAGATGAGTGAAGTGCAACAAAGAAGCTGTTTCCAAACAATGTACGCGTATGTAAATTGCAAAAGGCTAAGCGATGTAACTTTTTTGCATTACCGCATTTTTTCCTTCTCCGAAAAAAAAGTTTTCATAAAATTTGCTTTGCGTAATAAACGCAGCCCCCAACCTTGCTCCAATTTTTCGAAAAAAAAAAAAAAGCGTTCATTATGCGAGTATTAATGTGTCCTTGGTGTATTTTATATACACCAAGCTACATGTCATTAAGCTACATGTCACAACCAAAATGACAGTCCTAGCTACTCTGAAGGCAGAGATATCTTTTAGACAAGTTTGCAAATGCAGCGAAATTCGAATCCTGAGAAATCATGCAACAACACAAGTCCATTGTGGGCAGACAGCAGCATGGAAAAGCTGTTTATTTACAATTATTTGCAAATTCAGCTTTCTCAGTAGGCACTAGGCATGTAGTCCTTATGTCTTGCGTAACCTAATTTTTTCAATGCCCACTGCACGTTTTCCACAGAGGCATGCTTGCGAGCTGATGCGCTTTATCTACGGCGGTCTTTTTCTGCCATGCGTTTTTTTTGCCTAGAGTCAAGGATTGACGTGCAGCTCTTTCAGGATTGATGCTGAGGTTGCTTCATTTCCAGCATTGAATTTCGACACAGCCTCAGCCACAACAGCTTGGACAGAAAACAGTCACGCATAGCTCTGTGTAGCTGAGTGCACCCAAACAACGGAATGGGGGCTCTCATTGCTTTTCTGGATTTTCCCCCACTGGCACCGTCCAAGAAGCCTCTCATCCAACAAGCGTTCGTAGATGGGCAAAAGGGCCTTGCAGACATGAGGTGGCAAGTTGTAGCGATGCTTGGGGATAGACTCGCCTTTTGCTGTGGCTGCATTTTGGCGGCACCAAAATCTTTGCCTTTTGGGCACAAACTGTGGTCACACACTTCGTCATTAGAGGTGACATGATGACAGGTTGCGACGACAGCTCTTTGCATGGCCTTCATGTCACCTTTATTGCTCTTCAGCGCTCAGCCATAAGTAGGAAGTGAGCTTGGCAATAAGGTCGCCAGTCAGTTTTCCCTGGCCAACAAGGCTCTCAGTTCCAGCCCCCTTTTGCTTAGCAATGAGGTTTTGCAATGCTGTGCCTATTCTCTATTTAACATGGTTGACACAGTCTTCCTTGTTGATTGGTATATAGCCATACACTTCGGCTTCGGCAATGCAAGAAAGGTGCGGCTGTCACCCGTCTGAAAGTATTTTGGTATATCTGAGATTGTGTCTTTCCAGTGATTATGAATCAAATTATCAATACAGCTTCCACTTTCATTTCACCAGAATTTTTGCAGGAGTTCTTTTAGCATATATGACTTGCTATCCACGACTGGTATTCTGGATCTCCTTCTTTCGGTACCCGTTCGCATGCTGCGCAAAAAGTACTTAGCACCACATGGTCAAGCACTAAACCCGTGAAAAGTTCTATAGCAGCGCTAACACAGATATGAGATGAGTGTCCACGCGTCATCCATGAACCATCGTAGGAAACAGCAATGTTTTCTGGGTCACCGAGCTTAAGTTCGCTATAAAGATTGGGAACAGCGAGCGCGCTTTCTGATATGCATTTATCAGCAGCTGCAGTTCGTCGCGGGCGTCAGTCTTCGACTTCACAAGTGCCTGCCACGTTTTGGTATGCATGCCACGGGAAGACCAATTCTTTGTAGCGAAAATGTCGCTCAAGGCAGTCTATTGATTGCCATACTTTTCATAGCATGCGTGGCAAAAATGTTCACAACGAAGGGGTTGCACGATTTTCCGTCGTTCACGCCCGTCGAACTCCACACAGGCACGTTATCCACGCAGATCTCTCACGACGTAACAATCTTTATGGCGAGGACCTGTTGCCGCTCACTTAGGCGTACTGAAACATCACCGCAGCACCCTTTCCCCTCCACGTTGGACTGCGTAGCGTTTAGAGAGTCGAGGCTCAATAAAGCGAAGTGTGTATTCATCACTTGTGAGCCAGCCGCAGCGTCATCCGTTGTGGCAGTGTCGTTAGCACAAGCGAGCAGATCTGATTTTCGCTTGGTAGCTGGCGTTGATGCAAGGTTCCGTAGTTCTTTTTCAGCATTCTTTTTAATCATTAATAATTCAGCGGGCTTCGACATAATGGTGTTGCATCTACGTCGGTGTTGAACGTCGTTGCTGTCAGAGCCGCTTTGACACGCTAGGCCTAACCCGCACTCTGTGTTCTTGGCAGCTTCTTTGTGGCCACTTGGCACGGGAGGCGAGTTGACATCTTCTGAAGATCATCGGCGCTCATTTTGAAAGTTGTACACCTTCGGTTTCTTTGCACGTCCACCGAATTGATGCTTCGTAGCGAACTTCGGCTTAGACTTTGCATGATTGCGCGTTGCAGCCACGTTGTCTGATGCGAACAGTCGCAGCCCGAGCAGACGACTGCATGCGCGCTCACTGTCACGTGCAC